CATTTGGGTTTAGCCGTCTTTAGAGACGTGCGGCTAAACCCAAATGATTCTAGTTCTAGGTATAGTCTTAATTCTACATAGTAACAGTGTTAGTGTAAAACTAGAACTAACACTAGACTTAGAACTAGAAACATTCGAGTTTAGCCGTGCGACTTCAGAACTTTGCTAAACTTTGTAGTTCTAGGGCTAGTGTTAGTTCTAATTTTAATTGTTATGCAGCACTAGACCAAGAACTAGAATGATTCGGCTTTAGCCATCTTATGAGACACACGGCTAAACCCGAATGTTCGTTCATTTTATGTCTTAGAAAATGAACTAACTAAACGTACTACACTTAAATAAGGAATCGTTTATCCTCACTTCGCTGTGATCCCTTGCGGGCGAGATGCTTTAATCGATAGTTTATAACAACTTTACAATTATATAATTACATATCCAACGCATCGCTCGCAAGTAAGCTTGGCAATAGCGCTGTATATGTAATTATATCATTGTAAAGCTGGTGTAAACAATAATCTCCAATCATTGTTATTATTATTATCGGATTTATTGGAATTCTTAAACTATTTTCGATTTTAAATGCCCCATAAAACGTACTTTTATTGTTTCCATATTGTTTGTAATAAAATTGAAATGGGACAATTAAAAAATTCTAATTATATTTTCTTTTATTTATTTTTTAGGTGTAGTATTTCGTCCATCAGCCCTTTCGGCAATTTACCTCATCGCAATGCTCTGTTCACCATTCATAGCGGTACCGACGTATCAAACGATGCGTTCATGCACCGGAGTTTACTTAAAAATCCTAATGGCCATCTCCTTGATTACATCCGTTCTTCTCGTATCGTTCCACGTTTATTTAATTGCGGTCGGATCGTATGGAAACGTAATCACCGATAACGAACTTTTAGAAACTATATTAAGGTATTGCGGATTGGTCAGATTGGACAAAGCCGATTTTGTCACGATTATCACGTGGATTTCGCCGGAACTACTCATGCTAATATCATCAATAACCATTTTCGTTTTGACGATGAAACTTACTAAACGTAATACTGAGACTGAAACGGGCGAAGAGCAAACACAATCCAAAGCGAAAATGGATAGGATGCGGTTTCTGGTTGGAATTGGTAAGTTAATTTTATTAAAATATAGAAATTAAAATTATTTTTGCTTATACTTGATGTTTCATGCTAATTTACGGGGAGTTGGGGAAGGTGTGGACTTATTCTATGTATGTGGGGAATATTGCGTGATAAAACTCATCTGTTATTTATGAACCAAATTTATTATCAGTTCGTAGTACTATATTATGAAGTAGTAATAAAAAAATCACCATATTATAGCGAAATGGGTATCATAACGGAATTGTTACACAAAATATTAAGATGGGTTACGATTAGTCATTGAGTGCTTTTAAGTTTAAATAGGCCAGATCTGTACTATCTTAATATTTTAATATAAGTCACTATTTTTATTGAGGAAATAAATCATGGGGGATCATAAATTCACTACTGCAATAAATAATGTACTATTTTTATCGTATTTTTTTTTAATTTGTGGCGTTTTTTCACCGTGACTAATGCTTCATTACTATCAGTGTTACTGTTTCAATATAACTTAAAGTTATTTCTACATACTTTGCTATACTTACTTGGTATGACATTCCTTAAAATAAACTTATATCTATATAAGTTCATTTTACAGTTTTAAGTTACTTGATATTTTCAGCGTTGTCATTAACCGTAAAGCTGGTATAAACTATCAGATTTAGGATGATTATATTAATAATCATGTTTAAATACATCAAATTATTAATCATACTTTTTTGTATATTGTACAGGTGTCCCAATTTCGATGTCCGCATAGACTATTTCCGAAACTAAAAGGGATAGAAAAAAAGTAGCTTACATGTCATGATCCCGTTTTTCGAGAAAATGCTAATGCCGAAAACTCCGAACAGCTATCGTCTTTTGTTTTCACCCTATCGGCAAAAACTGAAAATTTTGCAAAAACGACAATCGCGAATATCTCACTTATTATCAAAGATGGAGTATTATAAATAAAACATTATATGGGCAACTTTTTACGAAGAATTCAGTGGCGTAGGTAGAATTTTTTTCCCATCTTTTATTTTCGAGATTTTAGACGTAACTTTATTTTTTTAAATGGAAACCATAGTTGGCTATGACTTAAAATAATTTGTTATTTTCTTCTGATAACAAATATATATAGTTTGTGGGGTATATTTCTTATAGTTATTGAATAATTAACAAAAATTCATTTTGTTCCATCTAAATCTAATGTATGTATTTAAAAGTTAATGTTGCTATGGTGATAACCATACATACTATGATGGAATATAATGTATCAATTTTTTTTGTTCTTTCTAAAACTATTGTATGTATTTAAAACTTAATGTTGTTATGGTGATAACCATACCATGAGGGAAAGCATTGTTTCCAATTATTGCCAAAGTTTGTAGCAAGGACAGTAGAATCTAACAGGACTGCTACATCCATTGTATTTTTGTAGTCGACTACGGGTTGGTTGCCCGCACTCTACGTCACACTATTTGCCACGCCTGGTAACTGTCTATGTTTTTAGAGGTTATATGATAGACATTAATACGTCTAAAAACATAAAACTTCAAAACTAATATGAATACGTCTAGGATATAACCTCTAAAAACACACAGCAAACGCATAGACCATAACAACAGCTAGGCGTGGAAAATGGTGTGACGTAGTTTGCGGGTAGGCTGTCACAACAATGGATGTAGCAGTCCTGTTAGATTCTACTGTCCTTGAGTTTGTAGTAGTATTTAAAAATTCACTAACAACTCTGGCATTATGTGCTGGTGCTCCGTCATATTGAAAATATATCATTTGAGACATATTTAGTGGCAAATTGTCGACCAAAGGCTCAATGTGCTGCCTTAATATATTGAGGTATTTCCCTGAGTTTAAGTTTTTATGGTAGATACTATATGCCAAAATTCTATTATCTAAAAGGGCACACCATACATTGAACCCCAATCTTCTTTGAACACTCAGAGACTTCATCGGTCCAGATAACATTTTGAACAAACAGCAGATTATTTAATTTTTTTAAATATCATCTACAAAATTCTAATCTTCGATTGACATCTCCGGCACGTAAATAATGAGTTAGCCCCGCTTTGTATGGTTTATACTTATTTTTCTTTCATATTCGGGAGCAGCGGCTTTTGGGTCAGACGTCTTGTTGCAATTTCTCTTGCAGGTCATTTTGGTATGTTTTTGTATGTGGTTTGGGGAAGGACCAAATATCTATTAAATTTTCTGCTAACCGGCTGAAGGTTCTTACGTGCGGTTGTCTTCTTTCTGGATATCTTGTGAAATAAAATTCCGCGGCTAACGTCGCATTCTTATCTGATAACATATAGCATTCCATCATGTTACATTTTTCATAATTTTCGAAATTCATTGTAAAGTTTTATTCAGTTTTGTTATACTTTGACACTTAACATGCTGGTGCATCGTACCAGCACATAATGCCAGAGTTGTTATCGAATTTTTAAATACAAACTTTGGCAATTATTTGATACATTATGTTCCATCATAGTATGTATGGTTATCACCATAGCAACATTAACTTTTAAATACATACATTAGTTTTAGATAGAACAAAATGAATTTTTGTTAATTATTCAATAACTATAAGAAATATACCCCACAAACTATATATATTTGTTATCAGAAGAAAATAACAAATTATTTTAAGTCATAGCCAACTATGGTTTCCATTTAAAAAAATAAAGTTACGTCTAAAATCTCGAAAATAAAAGATGGGAAAAAAATTCTACCTACGCCACTGAATTCTTCGTAAAAAGTTGCCCATATAATGTTTTATTTATAATACTCCATCTTTGATAATAAGTGAGATATTCGCGATTGTCGTTTTCGCAAAATTTTCAGTTTTTGCCGATAGGGCGAAAACAAAAGACGATAGCTGTTCGCAGTTTTCGGCATTAGCATTTTCTCGAAAAACGAGATCATGACATGTAAGCTACTTTTTTTGTATCTCTTTTAGTTTCGGAGATAGCCTATGCGGACATCGAAATTGGGACACCCTGTACATAAAAAAAAACAACGAATATTTTACGAATACACGATATTTTCTTTGCTATTTTTACAGTGTATATTATTCAGACGGACGTTTAGGTCATATCTTATTGCTTCTAAAGCAAATATTGCTGATATTGCAAATATTTGTATACGTAACAAAAATATATCACTGCTATTATTATATTAATAATAACTGGTTATCAATTTATTTATCATTATCTTTGTTTACATTCAAACACAATTGGATTAATATAAGATTGCATATCTACTTATAATTAACAATTTCCAATGTCACTTACAATTCAGAAATGATGAAAAAGGTTTCCAATTTCCTAAAGGTAGTGATTGAATTTATCAATGTCAGTTAAAAATAATGGGGGTTATAAAAAGATGTTATACAAGTTTAAAAATAAGAATTTATTAGCTTAAAAACTTTAAAAAAAGTTATTTGTTTATAACAGTAACGCAATTAAAAAAATATATTGCTAATACTTTATCATTAATGATTTATAATTATTTTTTTATTTCAGGAAAATTCACTACACTTATTTTACTCTGCATTTGCGCTTGTTTAAAACCATCAGTTCAAGGCGGTCTCTATTTCGTGGTATTTATTTGCACCGCTACATGGCGAAGTTGTTCGAAAAATTTAGGGAGAGGCTTTGCGGTCTTAATGCAATTGTTGATGGTTGTGGTATTCGTTCACATATTCGCCTTATTAATGTTCCAAATCGATTATTTCCAAGATTTTTTGGGTGTCGACAGCCCATACAGAAGGTAATTATAAAATAAAAACCATTAAATAAATACAATTTTACATTTTTAGATATTTTGCATTGACAATATTTTATACAATCGATAAATCAGATCCAAGAAGATTCATCTTCGCCCAAAATAATTGGGATGCCATAATAAATCCATTTATGTTGATCGCGCTTTTCTATGTGTCTGCGTTAACAACCAAAGAATTAATAAAGCCTCAGGTTGGTTTAATTGGCGGTAATGTATATTTAAACAAAATAATTAACAAAATTAATTATTTCACCTACTACTCAATAGTAATAATAATTGTTCGTAACTTTAATTGTTTGAGTGAAATGATTTTTTAGCCGCAAATTAAGCCGGGCGCTTTTTCGCGCCTCGAGGGCAGCTTCAACGGCCCTCTCCGACGTCAAATTTCCCAACGACTGTCGGATAGGCGCCTTTTAAGATCCACCACGACTAGAAATCGTTGGCACAATGCCACCCGAAAAGTTCGAGTAAGCTACGTAACAAACGAATCGATGTTGTGGCTGTTTCAACCACTTTTTTTTATTTGCAAATGCACCCTAAATATTTTTAGCATGTCATATTTATTAACATAAATGGTTGGATCAAAATCTTTTATTTATTATATTTCAAATGTGTAATAATTTTATTTATGACATTACTAACAAAAAAATGTTTTTGTTTAATTTAGCCAAATCGCTTGCTACGCTTCTTGCTCTTTTTATAGGTTAATCATTGGAACAGTCCCTCACTTTTATCTGAGCAGACGCCAGTACGTACCATTTTATTATTATTTATGTGTTTAACAAATAAAAAAAAATCCTATTCATCCCCTAAGTTTTGCGTGCACAGCAAATCAATTTTGTCATTTCTACGCTTCTATTCTATACACAACTTTTTTGTTTCTTCATTATTTTTTTGTTATATATGTTTTGCCGTGGTGTTTTTCGCGACTCGATGAGTAACGAGTGTAAAATTTTCTCAGCTGATGCGAGGGATTAGTCCATCTAGGAGATACGGTTCTGATAAAAAGAAGGGGGCTTCCATTTTACAGGATTCCACCGGAAGTGTTACAGTAACCGGTGATCAAACCCGAGATTTTCAAACAGAAAGCAACGAAAATTTAGGTCGGTATCACGCAATCTAAATTATACTATTTCAAATATATATCCTTTTATTATTTATCATTTTTTTTTAGATGAAGAAGAAAAAATTGGTTGTTTTGAAAATTGCGTTTTTGTAATGGGTCAATTATTGCAATCTTTAGTTCAATTATCATATATTGTCACAAATATTATAATGATGGTATTAATTATATCATCTTTATTCATTTTAATAATTAATTTTTATTATAGACATGGAGTATTACTTATCACAGTTGGTTAACCTTCGTTTTATTAATTTGGGCCAATATATTATGGATAATGCCAAAACAACGAAGAGCAATGTTACGATCTAGCCCATTCTTAGTTTTCTACGCAATTTTCCTTTTAATATCCGGTTACATATTCTCAATGGATCTCACCGATGCCGAACTGCCATCGAAACTGGCTCACATCAATTTGGCTCAAATTGGCTTCGTCAAATACGTAGAACTTCCATGTTTGCATTTATGGGTGAAATGCTGCTTCACGGTGATGTTTTGGTTTACCTTGAAACAATACACGATCGAATTAAAAGAGGAGCGGCAAAAACGATCTTTAGCCGATATGGCAGCTCCTTTACAAGTCAGTGTTCAAGCCGCGGCTGGTGTTCAATCGAGTCCGAGCGAACAGAAAAAATCGAAAGTTATCTCGTTAATCGGCAGTTATTTGAGGCACGCTTCAGTGAGACTTTGGATTTGGGTGGTTGCCATTACGTTATTTGTCGTGGCAATAACAGGAGAACGAATGACTGTTTTTAGAATTTTGTATATGGCATTGTTTTTAATCTTTATTTTAACTTTCCAGGTATGTATTAATTATTATTTATTTTATTTGTTAATAGTCATATACNTTGGATTTGGGTGGTTGCCATTACGTTATTTGTCGTGGCAATAACAGGAGAACGAATGACTGTTTTTAGAATTTTGTATATGGCATTGTTTTTAATCTTTATTTTAACTTTCCAGGTATGTATTAATTATTATTTATTTTATTTGTTAATAATCATATACAGGAATTTTATATAACTAACAATATATGAATGCTGTAACTATAGTTACGAAACTACTATGTACTAGCACTGATCCATATAAAATGCAACATAGCTTATAGTACAGGTATTGGGTAGTTTTGCTTGGAAAAAGGTAAGCCGCACGGTTCTCAAGAGGGCTAAACCCGAATGATTCGAGTTCTAGGTCTTGTGTTAGTTCTACTTTTCGTTCAATAAAAATATATCACAATCTAAAGCTGAATAACAATTAAAACTAGAACTAGCACTAAACCTAGCACTAGAAATATTCGGATTTAGCCGCACGTCTCTCAAGACGGCCAAATCCGAATGATTCGAGTTCTAGGTCTTGTGTTAGTTCTAGTGATAGTGCTAGTGCAAAACTAGAACTAGCACTAGACCGAGAACTAGAAACATTTGGATTTAGCCTCACGTCTCTCAAGACGGCTAAACCTGAATGATTCTAGTTCTAGGTCTTGTGTTAGTTCTAGTGATAGTGCAATACAAGAACTAACATTAGATCGAGAACTAGAAACATTCGGGTTTAGCCGCACGTCTCTCAAGACGGCTAAACCCGAATGTTTCTAGTTCCAGGTCTAGAGTTAGTTCTAGTAACAATGCTAGTGTAAAACTAGAACTAACACTAGACCAAGAACTAGAAACATTCGGATTTAGCCGCACGTCTCTCAAGACGGCTAAACCCGAATGATTCTAGTTCTAGGTCTTGTGTTAGTTCTAGTGATAGTGCTAGTGTAAAACTAGAACTAACACTAGACCTAGAACTAGAAACATTCGGATTTAGCCGCACGTCTCTCAAGACGGCTAAACCCGAATGATTCTAGTTCTAGGTCTTGTGTTAGTTCTAGTGATAGTGCTAGTGTAAAACTAGAACTAACACTAGACCTAGAACTAGAAACATTCGGATTTAGCCGCACGTCTCTCAAGACGGCTAAACCCGAATGATTCTAGTTCTAGGTCTTGTGTTAGTTCTAGTGATAGTGCTAGTGTAAAACTAGAACTAACACTAGACCTAGAACTAGAAACATTCGGATTTAGCCGCACGTCTCTCAAGACGGCTAAACCCGAATGATTCTAGTTCTAGGTCTTGTGTTAGTTCTAGTGATAGTGCTAGTGTAAAACTAGAACTAACACTAGACCTAGAACTAGAAACATTCGGATTTAGCCGCACGTCTCTCAAGACGGCTAAACCCGAATGATTCTAGTTCTAGGTCTTGTGTTAGTTCTAGTGATAGTGCTAGTGTAAAACTAGAACTAACACTAGACCTAGAACTAGAAACATTCGGATTTAGCCGCACGTCTCTCAAGACGGCTAAACCCGAATGATTCTAGTTCTAGGTCTTGTGTTAGTTCTAGTGATAGTGCTAGTGTAAAACTAGAACTAACACTAGACCTAGAACTAGAAACATTCGGATTTAGCCGCACGTCTCTCAAGACGGCTAAACCCGAATGATTCTAGTTCTAGGTCTTGTGTTAGTTCTAGTGATAGTGCTAGTGTAAAACTAGAACTAACACTAGACCTAGAACTAGAAACATTCGGATTTAGCCGCACGTCTCTCAAGACGGCTAAACCCGAATGATTCTAGTTCTAGGTCTTGTATTAGTTTTAGTGATAGTGCTAGTGCAAAACTAAAACTAACACTAGACCGAGAACTAGAACCATTCGGATTTAACCACACGTCTTTCAAGACGGCTAAACTCGAATGATTCTAGTTCTAGGTCTAATGTTAGTTCTAGTTTTAGTTCAATAAAAATATACAACATAGTGATATTTTATGCTAACTAGCGCTACCTAAAGAGAGGTATGGCTAAACGAAATGTTTCTAATTCTAGTGTTAGTCTAGTTTTATTTGTTATTCAGCACTAACTTGTTGTATATCTTTATTGACCTATAACGGACACTGCGTTCTCCGTATTCATCCGTTATATCGAGGTTTTACTGTAATTTCAAATTATATTGACATGTTGCATTTTATGTGGGCTCCTNGCTAGTGTTAGTCTAGTTTTATTTGTTATTCAGCACTAACTTGTTGTATATCTTTATTGACCTATAACGGACACTGCGTTCTCCGTATTCATCCGTTATATCGAGGTTTTACTGTAATTTCAAATTATATTGACATGTTGCATTTTATGTGGGCTCCTGAACTGTAATTCAATGAAATTTTTAAACGAAGGATATTAGAAGTGTATATTATTATAATATTTTACATAAATATAATATAATATTTATAACTCAAAAAAGTCTACATACTACACACAAAATTTACATACTAATTAATATTTGGTAGGTCCTCCCTTGGCAGCAAGAACTGCTGCTAATCGTCGAGGCATAGAATCAACTAAATTAGCTGTAATTTCTGGTGAAATACTCTGCCATTCCCGTAATAGTGCAACATTTAAGTTGTTTTTATTTTTAATACCTAATTTCCGAATTTTCCGGTCAAGAAGCTCCCATATGTACTCTAAGGGGTTGAGGTCGGGAGACTGCGGTGGAGAGTGTAGCTGTTTAAGGACATTATATAATACCCATTCCTTCACCATGTGTGCTGTGTGCTTGGGATCATTATCGTGTTGGAATATCCACTCTGTTCCCAAGCCTAATTTATTGACGATTCCTTTAAATTAGTTCGCAGTATGTTCAGATATACATAGCGGTCCATAATTGTTTCAACAAATACTAAACTTCCTACACCAGCCCTCGACATACAACCCCATACCATTACATTTCCTCCGCCATGCTTTACTGTGGCTTTCAAGTTTTTCTTTTTCATTTCTTCGTTTTTCTTTCTCCACACCTTTGCTATGCCATAGCCGAAAAGATTGAACTTGCTTTTGTCCGAAAATACAACGGTACGCCAGAAAGTAGTATTCTTTTGCTCATGTAATTTGGCAAAAGTTAGTTAATGAACGACCATTATTATGATTGTGAATTATGATATTTCGCACTGCATAAGGTATTCCTTTCCGTTTAGCTTCCATTGTTAGGAGTATTACTAATTACACTAATTTATGTTAATATACTGCTATAGCAACAACGTTGGTATGAAATAAAACGCAAACTACATCAACTATGATGTTTACAAATAAAAAGTAGTGTCGTGTTATAGCTGCATAAAGACTTTTTTGAGTTACAAATATGATTATGTTTTGTGTTTTTCAATATAAATAATAAGTTATACATTTTTATGTAAAATATTTGAATAATATACACTTCTAATATCCTTCGTTTAAAAATTTTATTGAATTACATTTCAGCAGCTGAGATATTATGATTTTCTGGGGCGTATGTAGACTTTATTGTACCACTGTAGGTACGCGCTGATTTCTATCGAAATATATTTTGTCCACGACTACCTTATAATATATACCTTATGAATGAGTTTTCTAAACCAAAATGGTAGTCATTTTTCACGGAGTGAATAATAGCGGTGAATAATAATCATTATCCACGGGTAGCCATCTTGACCAGACTAATAATAATTATTTGAAACGTTAAAAGTTCAAAAAACGACAATTTAATTCAATTTTTTAAGGAGTTTCTAAATGTTTGACATTAAAAAAACCTAAACAAATTCCTTTTTTCGTATGATTTAAGCATAAATTAATTAATTTTCGTAAAGAAAACGACGTTTTATAAAACTGACATTTAATTTTGACAAATTGTTGTGAAGTTGGTTACAGTTAGTAACATTGAATTTGTGTCACATTGACGTTTAACCTTTATTCAAAAATTTATTTAAAAAATAAATTTATGGAATCAATTTCAATAGTCGTGGACAAAGTATAGTATTCTACTCGCATATAATGAGCTATTATTTACTCTGGTTAATTATGCCACTCGCTTAACCTTCGTGAATAATAAATAGCCCTCATTATATGCTCATATAATAATATACTATTGTATATTACATCTTAAGTGAAATTCACTGTCTAAGCGAACTTTCGGACTCATTTTCTGTCACTCCTGGTGGATCATAAGGCAGGAATAAAAGCTTCTTCCTGAACTTTCGGGTTCCAGTCAAACGCTGATATCAATCTTTTCCTTGATTTGGTTACTAATGGTTCATTGATTTATTCTCTCCCACAAGTCTTAATTGGATATCACCACGTTTATAATGCATTGATTGATGATTTTTCATGTTTCACATCCATACAGAAGAACAAACTTTACGTATTATTGGAATCTTGATAAAGTCAAAATTAATACATCAACGACCTTTTCTCGTCATAATTACTAATTAATAAATTAAAAATCGTTTCTTTTTTTTGTAGATATCATTTAATTTATGGAGACAAATGATGTTTATATTTTTATTAATAGTTATAATCTATTCAATGCTTATTTTAATACTTGTTTATACATACCAATTTGATAACTTTGAAACTTATTGGACTGAATATCTTCATGTACCTAAAGAACAGTAAGAAATTATTTTTTTTTTAAATAAAAACATCTCATAATAATTTTTTTAAAGGCAATTAGATATTGGATTGGAAACTTATAAAACAACGCAGTTATTCGTTCGTCTCGCAACTCCCACATGTTTCGTGATAGTAACCGTCATTCAACTTCACTATTTTCACCCAGAATTTAAGCGCCTCACAGATATTTTAGGGAGTCATCAAGAAGTTGCTCGCACAACCTCTTTGGGTACTAGTTCCATGCCAGGATCGACGTCGGAGAGAAATGATTCATATACTAGCGATAAAAAATTAGATCTTACCGATGTTGCTAGTAAGGAAATATTAAAAATACAAATTTAGTTATTAATATATCATTTTTTGTAGCAATTCATTCGGAAAATATAAGAAGATCCTTCAAAAATTTTTGGAGGAAAGTCAAAAAAGCAATTGATTTAATATACATATACCTTGAAATACAAATGCATAGATTGGTGTTGATTATTGCGGCGTTGATGTGTATTTATGACAAATGTGCCTTATATTGCGTGGTAACCCCATTGGTTGTGTTAGGAATAATGACCGGGCGAGGTTTATCTCATCTTATTATCAAAGTCATATCGATTTATACAGCTGTTAAATTAATATCACAAATGATTTATCAAGTTAATTATATTAGACATGAATGGTTTGATGCGAATTGTACGGTAAGTTAAATTTAATTAATAATTTAGGTATTGTTTTAATTTATTAATTGATAATTTTAGATTACTTCAAACACTACAAATAATGTAACTGGAAATAACGCTGAATGGTTAGGATTTTTTAAATCAAATAATATGGCATCAATTGTGGAATGGAACATAGCTTACATCGCGGTAGCAACTCTTTACTCAGTCATTTTAATACGGCAATATAGCCATAGAATTAAATCGGGACAACCACAAGTAAGACCATTCTTTGTGTTTCCTAATATAAGAAGATTCGACGCTGATAAAAGCGTCTACAACGCTTTAAAATTCTTGGTTAATCACGGATATTACAAATTTGGATATGAAGTAATTTTAAGTTACAATTTTAATTTTTAATCATTAAATTAATTTTTTTTAGATATCGTTAATAACAACTGTATGTTTAATTGGAATACGAATGGATATGTACGGATTATTTTACGCAATTTGGTTATCTTTATTATGTTTCATACGCCGCGACATTTTAAGAGCGGGAATGTGGACGTTGTATTTATTTTTCATAGCAATTACAATCCCCATTCAGTACTTTTTGTCCGTTGGAATCCCTCCCAGTTTATGCGTAGTATTTCCATGGGACGACATGCCCCTCTTGCGACGCCTACAAGAATGGGCTTTCTTATTAGACACTGCAAAACCACCTCGCGTTGAGCGATTAGTTTGCGATTTCGTGCTACTTTTAATGGTGTCGAGACAACGGGTTGTATTCCGAATAGAAGATCGATTTAAAAATCGTGATTACCCCGGTGGTTCAAACGATAGCATCATTCATCTCGCTGAAACCAAAGATTTTGTTAATCCCGTCCCAGATTATATTACATTCGTTAGGTAATGATTTAAATGATGCACTTGATTTTGTTTGATTGTTTTTGTTTTTAGGTCTTATTTGGATATTATTAAAAGAGGGGTTCTATTAAGTTTTATGTGGCTTACTTTAGCTGCAATATTTTTAGCTGGTGCAAATCGTATAAATATCTTTTCGATTGGATATTTACTTGGATCGTTTTTGTTTTTATGGCATGGAACCGATTTATATTTAAAACCGTTAAGATTAATTTTAAAATCGTATGTGATTATTATCTAACTATAATATTGAACTAAAACTAGAATTAACAATAGAATTAAAACTAGAACTAACACTAGACTTAGAAACATAACCCAACCCAGATGTTTCTAGTTCTTGGTCTAGTGTTAGTTCAATAAAAATATACAACAATTTAGCGCTGAACAAGAATTAAAACTAGAACTAACTGAAGACGCACGGCTAATCTCGAAACTTTCCAGTTCTAGTGTTAGTTCTACTTTTACACTAGCACTGTTACTATGTAGAACTAACACTATACTTAGAACTAGAATTATTTGGATTTTGCCGCACGTCTCTAAAGACGGCTAAACCCAAATGATTCTAGTTTTAGGTATAGTGTTAGTTCTAGTTTTACACTTGCACTGTCACTAGAACTAATATTAGACCTAGAAACATTTGGGTTTAGCGTACGTGTCTTAAAACGACTAAACCCGAATGATTCTAGTTCTTCGTCTAGCGCTGCATGACAATTAAAACTAGAACTAACACTAGACCTAGAACTAGAAACATTCGGGTTTAGCCGCACGTCTCTAAAGATGGCTAAACCCAAATGATTCTAGTTTTAGGTATAGTGTTAGTTCTAGTTTTACACTTGCACTGTCACTAGAACTAACATTAGACCTAGAAACATTTGGGTTTAGCCTTACGTTTCTTAAGACGGCTAAACTCGAATGATCTAGTTCTTGGTCTAGCACTGCGTCTAGTCTGCGTTTAGTCTGGGTCTGAAAACGCACGGCTAAACTCGAAACTTTCTAATTCTAGGTCTAGTGTTAGCAGGGTTGCCAGGTTACACACATAGAATGTCGTGAGCCAAGGTCTATAGAACATAAGGTTACCCAATACCGATTCTCCTCCTCTGAGAGGCAAGGTGGGTCAGTGACGTAGCTGGTTCTATGAACAACACAACACGATGCGAGGTTTAAATNTTCGATTGGATATTTACTTGGATCGTTTTTGTTTTTATGGCATGGAACCGATTTATATTTAAAACCATTAAGATTAATTTTAAAATCGTATGTGATTATTATCTAAGTATAATATTGAACTAAAACTAGAATTAACACTAGAATTAAAACTAGAACTAACACTAGACTTAGAACTAGAAACATAACCCAACCCAGATGTTTTTAGTTCTTGGTCTAGTGTTAGTTCAATAAAAATATACAACAATTTAGCGCTGAACAAGATTTAAAACTAGAACTAACTGAAGACGCACGGCTAATCTCGAAACTTTCCAGTTCTAGTGTTAGTTCTACTTTTACACTAGCACTGTTACTATGTACAACTAACACTATACCTAGAACTAGAATCATTTGGGTTTTGCCGCACGTCTCTAAAGACGGCTAAACCCAAACGATTCTAGTTTTAGGTATAGTGTTAGTTCTAGTTTTAAACTTGCACTGTCACTAGAACTAACATTAGACCTAGAAACATTTGGATTTAGCGTACGTCTCTTAAAACGGCTAAACCCGAATGATTCTAGTTCTTGGTCTAGCGCTGCATGACAATTAAAAGTAGAACTAACACTAGACCTAGAACTAGAAACATTCGGGTTTAGCCGCACGACTCTAAAGACGGCTAAACCCGAATGATTCTAGTTCTAGGTATAGTGTTAGTTCTAGTTTTACACTTGCACTGTCACTAAAACTAATATTAGACCTAGAAATATTTGGGTTTAGCCTTACGTTTCTTAAGACGGCTAAACTCGAATGATCTAGTTCTTGGTCTAGTCTGCGTTTAGTCTGCATCTGAAAACGCACAGCTAAACTCGAAACTTTCTAATTGTAGGTCTAGTGTTAGCAGGGTTGCCAAGTTACACACATAGAATATAGTGAGCCATGTCATAAAAAATCATGAGAAATTGTGAGATGTTGAAATTTGTTTAAAAATCACTCAATTTTAATAATATGTGTTACATATAGGCATAGGATTCAAGTAAAATAGTTTAGACAACGTTTGCATATAAAAGTGACATAATTAAAAGAAAATAAACCATTACAGTTTAAGTTAAAGTCCCTAGATTATCAAAATACCGCGATTCATGAAACCTGTGTATGTATTCGAAATATTCAAGCAAAAATGACGATTTGACAGCTTGTCAGTGCATGTTACCACCTATTTACAAAAATAATGCCGTCCTGTTGCCTTTGTAGTTGCAAAAATAGCAGCAAGAAGGGCTTTCGACTCTTCAGAGTACAACGAGAAAAAAAAGAAAGGAAATTTGGTGTAATTTTATCAACAAAACGAAATAGTTTCAAATTTCCCGCGTGACTTTCTAGTCAAAATGGCGGCCACCGCGGTACTTTGTAAATCTAGGGACTTTAGTTTAAGTTAAAGTCCCCTACCTCGGTTCATGAAGCCTGTTTTCGAGCCAAAATGGCAGTTTGACAGCTTGTCACCGCATCTCACCACTTATTTACAAAAATATTGCCGTTTTGTTGCCTTTGGAGTTGCAAAAATGGCAGTAAGAAGGAATTTCGACTCTTCACGAGAAAAAAAGAAAGGAAATTTGGCGTAATGTTTTGGTTTGTAGTTTTAAATTTCCTGCTTGACTTTCGAGCCAAAATAGCGTCAAACCGCGGTACTTTGTAAATCTAGGGACTTTAGTTTAAGTAATTTCTTAGCGCCATCTAGCGGGCGAATGGATGTAACTAATAGAGAAATTTACAGTAACCTAAAATTCGAGTTGAAAATGTTATGATTTTACTTTGATTTTATTAACACTAATTATTATATAATTTTATTTATTTAATAAAATGAGAAGTACATATCAAATCGTGAGATTAAAGGTAATATCATGAGATCTCACGATAAATCCTGAAACCTGGCAACCTTGGGTGTTAGTTCTAGTTTTATACTAGAATTGTTACTAGAACTACCTCTAGACCTGGAACTAGAATCATTCGAGTTTAGCCGTCTTGAGAGACGTGCGGCTAAACCCGAATGATTTTAGTTCCAGAGCTAGTGTTAGTTCTAGTTTTAGTTCAATGAAAATATACTAAATATCAACTAAAACTAGAAACATTCGAGTTTAATCGTGCCTCTTTTAAGACGACCAAACGCAGATGTTTCTAGCTCTCAGTCTAGTGTTAAAACTAGAGCTAACACTAACGCTAAACCTAGAACTAGAAAGTTTCGGGTTTAGCCATCTTCAAACGCTCTGCTAAACAGGTCTTTATTTACATGTTTTGTATACACAACATTGCACAAACATTAATATTTATTTATTTTATTTCTACACAATTTGAGTTACTTACAACTGCTAAAAATATCGCTGAAAGAATTACACCTAACTTTAAAGCTAAAGAATCATTAATCCATTAATTAAGTATATTATTATTTAATATTTTTTTAAATTTCCTTTTTAGATGGGAATGTTTAATAGCTTATAGTGTAATAGTAATATTTTTAAAAGCCGTATTTCAATTTTCCGGATGTGTATGGGTTGGGAAAATTCCTCTCGATTATTGTTGGGTAGCGCAATTATTCGCCATCGGATGTGTCGATAAATCTATACACGAGAATAATATTCACGTCGTAGAAGAATGCGAAATTCCCAGCGAATCAATCGGTTTAGCCTGGGACGGAATTTGTTTTGCATTTTTGATAATGCAAAGAATGTTGTTTAGCAGTTACAATTTTTTCCACATAATCGATGAGACTAAAGCAAGTACTATACTGGCATCGAGAGGTGAGTATTATTAGTTTATTTAGTTTTTATTTTTGACGGTTATTTCGAGCAGGTGCTGATTTAATCGAAGTTTTACGTCAAAGAAGGGTGCAAGAACAATTAGATCACGAAAAATTAATCTTGGAAAAGATTAAATTAAAAATGGACAGGATTAAAGCTACACAAGAAAAAATTCGTGGTCCTAATTACCAAGAAGTTAATAATCATGCTATTGGTATGTTGTAATAATTAATTTGAATGATTAATTTAAAACTTAAAAATTTATCATTCATCATATACTCACTTACCATTATTAAAAAAATAGTTAGATCCTCATCGGTATCATCATGCGTGTCTGCAAATTCTCAAACACCCGAAGCTGGTTATCACACTCCTATTGATGAAGACGACGCGGCTCCATTAACCCCAGCCGCGGGGTCTTCTCTAATTCAACCACAGGTTGCCTCCCCCTTCTCAGCTATTATGACGGTATCTCTTGAGGGTTACTTGGAGCCCCAACGTATGTCCTTCAGTTCTCCGCCCAATTCGGAGTTAAATCCGAGACCAGCTTCGCCGGATGATAGTTATCCGGTTTTTTCTCCACCTCCGTATGAGGAGGCCCCTACGTACGCTCAGGCTGTAACACCAGCACCGCGCCCCGCTCAAAGACAATTCAGTTTGGGGCCGTCATGGATGAATGGGTTGACCACACCTCGGCAGAGCGTCATTTCTTATTCGTCTCGATCCCCTCTCAGTCATCATACATGTAATTTTCATTATATTTATCGTTGGAGGTGCTTTAAATATGCGTGTACATTTTCTTGTGGAAATTGTACATAAAGGAATATTTCATTGTTGTGTTTTTGTTATTAACCCGCTTCATATTAGTTGTGTACAAAAAAAAATTTATTCATATTTTTTTTGTATAGATTTTTTTGATGTCGTCTTATTTTTTATAGATACTCTTTATCCTAGATCTAGGCCATTGTACAGGAGAAAAATTCCAAAGACAAATAAAGAGGGTAAAATACACAATAACTTAAATACTGTAATAAATTGATTTTCTTATTGCATGAAACTAATTTGGGTGTAATTAGGTGTAAATTAAAAACTAGATTTTGCATGTTACTAACACCTCAAATCTGTGTAATTAATTAATTAATTTTGATTTTAATTCTTTAGCAATTCGATCTGGAGATTATTACATGTTTGATGATATGGATGATGATGATGAATTGGATATTATTGAAACGACCAAACAACAATCCGACGACGAGGATGGGGAAACGGGCGAGAATCTTAGTACGGTAAGTGAATGGGATTCGGAAACTTTTGGTAACCTCACTCGATTTTGTTTTTACGTGTGTGACGTGTCGTTTAAAAAGTTTTCGAATTGAATTTGAAGAGATCACAAATACGGTTTTTGGGGGCCGTCGCTTTCGGGCCTCCTCCGTGTGTGTGCCTTTTTTGGGGAGCTTTTTTAAGACAGCTGTATTTCGAAATTGTAGCTACTTAGTAAAACTTTGAAGACAGATGTTAACACGGTCGTCAGGAAGGATAAATTGAGACGAAGGGCAAGTATGCCAGTAGACCGTCAGCGATCTACGATTTCCGCTTGGTCTCACGCCCGTTCTGCCCCTCCCACTGTGAGTTACTAACAAATTAATCCCTCAATTTTTTTTAAATTAATTGGCTTTAACATTTTTTTTTTGTTGTACATATGGGAGCTTTTATGCTTTATTACATTCAATGTTATTCATCGATTTAATTTTTTTACTATTTTGATTTAATTTTAAAATAATTTGAATTAAATTTCCACTCCCAAAGCTTTTTTTAACGACCTTATTCTTCTAAACTAAAGGTAAGATTATACTCGAAAATCAAATCTAATAAATATTATATATGCCATATAACAGGTTTAAACATCATTTCTATAATTCTCATCAAATTGTATTAAAACAAATTATTTCTGTCTCTTCAATATATTAAAATTGATGTACATCGCTTAATTAATGCTTTTGTACATTTGGTCTTTGCTTTTGTACACTGAACTTTGTAATACAAGTGATTAAAAAGTGGTATGCCAAACGAACTATACATAAACTACTTGGTGTAGCTTTCTACACCAATTTGCACAAATGTTTTAGTTAAAACCGATTATATGTGATGTTAGTGTCTTGCGATACATGGACATGTCATAAAAAGCTGGAAGAGCAGCAAACAAAAACTTGGTGGAACTTGATTACCACTACAAAATGTTGCTCTACAACATCAACATAGTTTCTAGTTCTGCGTAGAAAGAAAGTTTTCTGTAAGGTTATCCTAACATCTTTTGACTTACAATTAGATTGATTCTTCTTTAGCTTGAAGTTTTTGCAAGGTCCTCTACAATTTCTTTGATACCATATTTCTATATAAGTCAATTCACATACATTTTCGTTTGGTACTCCATTTTTGAATTACACTTATGTTCAATAGTAATTATTAGATATTTATTCATTCATCTTTTTGAAACTTGAGTAAAAAGTATTTAATAATTTTATACTGTTGAACATTTTATATAATTAATGTAAATCTTATTAACTTTCAACTTGAAAAACTTATTCAACTCTGTGGCTTTTGTATAGCGCACAAATTAACTAGCCGAGCTTAATTAATTCTGGAGATATTTAAACTGTACTTTTAAACTGTAGATTGAAGAGAGTCCAAGTAAAAGTAAAAAACAGGGAGATTCAACTGAACTTATACCAAAGCCGGGTCCTAGCAAACCAAGTGAAGATGACGATAATATTTCTGAAGGATGTATGTTTTTTTTGTTTAGGGGAAATTTTTTAATTTAATTATTATTTTGTGTTTTATAGCCGAACATAAAAACACGAAGTGTCAAACAGTTCTGGTTTACCTGATTTATGCTTGGAAATTAATTGAAAGCATTATGGTATCGGTCATACGCATTTTGAATAAACACTCAAGAGATTTTCGGTATGTCAGACGTGTGCTTATACAAGAAAAGAAAATTTTAAAGGTACTCATTAATTATTGATTAATAATTTTAATTATTAATTTTAATTATTTTGAAAAAGGAAACTAGCAACTACACTGAAGGTATTCGAATTGGAAGAAGTAAAATATGGCAACCCGCTCATACTTACCAAGCTCTTTTGTCTTCACGGTAAGTTTTTTTTTGTGTTTTGATACTTAGTGGGAAATTTTAAAATATTATTTAAAAAAAATGATAAGAATTATAAAAAAAAAGTTATAAAAATATAAATTCAGGGATGCAACATCGGGAAATACAATAAATAGCCAAAACGAAGAAACGGAACATTCTGGCGAACCATCCACTAAACCAAAAGAGACATCCTCACAACAATCGTCTCCTGAAAGGTACATCACGATCATGTACAAACATTATCATTAAAAAAAATAGCTAATCATTTTTGCTAATTGATAACTAATCCCATTACATCAGAAATGAATACATCATAATTGATGTTTCGACAACACATCTCTTTTCAAGGAGTTAATTATTACTATAATGAGAGAAATGTTGTTGAAAAAATCAATAAATAACAGTTGTGGTGAATAAATACATAGTAGTGTAGCGTGGCTGTATGTTTGGCTGTAGACGCAAGGCAAGTGTACTCACGGTGCCTGAAATACGAATCCTGGCCCCAAGTATGGAGCGTGGTCTTGACACCGCGACAGATTACTCCGGCAGGTAAAATGCACAGCCCGGCTAAATAAAAAAAAGGGAAACTCAAAATGAAACGAAGTAAACCTGAATTGCTGTGCATGAATGTTGTTGTTTTCTTATTTTTTAATTCTTATCAAATTGAAGTAAAAGTATTGTATATGCTGTATAAATTGCTTGGGTGGAATTATTGTTTTGGTTCACACAAAATTGTTGAAAATTGAGTGATTAAACATTTTAAAAGAAAGTTATTAAAGTATGTACAGGGTGGGCAAATTTGGGTGTTATTATAGGCTATCTCAGAAACTATAAGAGATACGAAAAAAGTAGGTGCCATGTCCCGGTCTCTTTTTTCGAGACTAAGCCAATCCCGCAAACACCAAACCTCTATCTTCTTTTGTTTTTAAGTTATAGCCAAAAAGTCAAATTTTCGTGATTTTAAAAAATGCTCATATTTCGTTTATTTTTGAAATTAGAGAAATGGGGTTGATACGTTCTTAAGACACTTCTTTAAGTAGAATATACTGCCGTTGAAAAGTTTTAAATATACTTGATGATTTTTGAGATATAACACAAAGTTGTGGTTTTTTAATTTTCAATTCGAAAATAGTAAGCGCTAATGTTCAAAATTTTGATTATAGTAGGCGTGTTCGGACAGTAAATACTACCTAGTGGCTATAATATATGGTTTTGCACGAATATGACAGAATAAAGTTGGTTTTGTACCATTATTCAGGATAAGTTGGTTTTGTACCAACGAATAAAAACTTTGAATAGTTAATTTAAATTTCTCAGCATCTTATCCCTGACTTTGTTCACCAATAAAAAATGATTAGCATTTAAAGTTTGTTTATTAAAAATACAAGAAATGTATTAATTAATGAATAATTAAATATGGACAACTTCAGGAACTAAACAGTCATAAACTGTCATCTTCTTCTACTCAACTTACTGGTTGTAAGATTAGAACAGTTCGGTATCAATGAATGAAATCTTCGGTAGTATTTTCCCAGTTTTCCCCAAACATAAGATGTAGAAGTTTTTTGATATCAGCAATCTTTTCTTTTGAAATTGGGTGAGATAGAGGAAAATTAGGAATCATAAACTGGGAGCGGACTTTCCATTGAAACACCGTTTGAATGGGGATATGAAGACTTATGTATCATCTTCAAAGCGGACTCCAATATATTCTATATTTAATTTTATCGTTTTATTTAAAGATAATGCGGAACTTCTTAAACGGGAAACTCGTTTCGCAAAATTCATGAATGAAATGACAAGTAAACTCACGTTGCTATAGTAACTAAGTAGTATTTAGCGTTTTCCTCGCCTACTATAATTAAAAATTTGAATTTTAATCTTTAATATTTTAAAAATTGAAAAATAACGCTTATTTTCCGCAGAAACATCATGCGTGCGATACATCATTGGAAAGCTAAAAATATGCTCTTTTCAGTAATATCATAATAAAGTATAGTTTGTATTTAAAAAAATACAACTTTATGTTATATCTCAAAAATTATCAGCTATGTTAAAAATTTTTCAACGGCAGTATATTCTACTCAAAAAAGTGTCTTAAGAATGCATTAACCCCATTTCTCTAATTTGAAAAATAAACGAAATATGAGCATTTTTTGAAATCACTAGAATTTGACTTTTTGGCTATAACTTAAAAACAAAAGAAGATAGAGATTTGGTCTTTACGGGATTGGATTAGTCTCGGAAAAAGAGACCGGGACATGGCACCTACTTTTTTTGTATCTCTTATAGTTTCTGAGATAGCCTATAATAACACCCAAATTTGCCCACCCTGTACACACGTGAATGCTGCACAGTTGGTTTGATATAATTTCGCACCAACAGTGAATACGACGTTGTATGTTAATTTATGGGGAAGTATGCCAAATCGTTGTGGGGACAAATTTTGAATGCCAAAAAAAGAAAACTTTGATCTTGTCAAAAAAGATCGTATTAATTATCTCGAATTGTCTGTCGACTCAACCGAACCTCAAGAAATTGATCATCACATTGTTGTGCCTCAGTCGCAAGCAGCTTCGGCTTTCACTACAGTGGGAAATGTATGCTGTTATTACAATTAATATCATATCAAAGCAGATTCCAGCGCAGATTTTATGATGAAACTGATCATCACGTTGCTGTTTCTTGGTTATAAACAGTCTCGGCTTTCATTACAGTAGGAAATGTATGATTACTATATTTCAGCTTAACACGTTTTCTGACAAATTCCGATTCCTAGTCTCCACTGCTTTCTGTCCTTCACCATATCTTTCTGCATCTCTCTTCCTCTCATCTCCTTTTCAATACCCTCTCTCCCGTTGGTCGTTGATCTTCTCTTTCTACGACCATGCGGATTTCCACATTAGGATATGTTTGGGAAGTGGATTCTTTGAACATAGTCAAACCATCTCACCAATTTCGTTTATATCATCTACGATACTATCTTCAGCATACACATCCATGATATCTTGTCTGTATTCTTACATTTCTTATCATTTCTCGTTTCGATCTATCTACGGTCCTTTGCTAATATCCCATCTCTGTGGCTTCAAGATATTTTATAACTCCATGATAGGAGAACCCACTTTTGGTATTCCGCTATAGACGTGAATACATTAATGGCCTCCTTTTAATATGTTTAATCACCCATTGAAAATAAAATCACAAATCTGTGTATAAAAATAATAATATAAATAAAATTGCCTACATCGACTTCGATTATAACGAACTTTTAGGTAAACTTATGTTTTTTATTTATAATAAAGCTAATTAACAATTTTTAACCGAAATAAAAGCTCGTTATTACCGTAGTACACCGCATACATATTATTAAAAATTCCATTTCACACAATTTTCATTTTCCTTGCATAAAATTGATTGTTTATTTCTTTTAATATAGTTCCGGAATGATTGAATTCGAAGAAGGTGAAATTTCCCAATACGATCAACCGACAATCATTCGTTTAATGATAGCGATTTGGTACATCGTGATGAGCAACTCTGAAATATTATGTTACATAATGATTTTCGTGAATCAAATGCAATCGGCGACATTTTTATCGTTATCGTTACCATTTTTGGTATTTTTCTGGGGAACTTTAGCCATTCCCAGACCGTCCAAATCGTTTTGGGTAACAATCATTGCGTACACACAGGTAATTTTTTTCTTCGCAAAATTAAACATATATCTTTTTGTTATATATTTTTATAGACTGTCGTCTTGATTAAATGCATATTTCAATTCGAATTTTGGACGTGGAACCAAACGAATAACGTCCCCGATACAAATCCTTTTTATCCACCCAGAATAATCGGAGTTGAACAAAATTCGCATTATGCAGTTTGGAATTTATCGTTATTATTGGTGGTGTATTTTCATAGATACTTGTTAAAATCTTTGGGATTGTGGACCGCGGCTATTGTGACAGTTCCCCTTTTGCACGAGGGTGATTATGTGGTTCAAGAACTTCAAAAGGATCGGTAATTGAATTGATTTTATTTTTGTGTCATTCCTTGTCCCAATTGCATTTATTTTTTAAAATTAATTCCTTCAGCCAGATTAAACCTGGGGATATATGCCCTTTATTATTTACAAGAAGAAGAGCAAATTTATTAAAACCCAAAAAAAGAAAACTCCTATTTAGGTATAACTCTTTTGTGAATCCTCCAATAATTCTTAATTTTATATATCTAAATTATCTAAATAATCTAAATAATCTACAATTAATTAATATTTTAGAACATTAAAAGATCATGCTAAATTAAGCGCATCTGATGATGAGAATGATGATGATGAGGATAAATCGATCACTGTAGCTGTTAAAACCGAATATGCCGAACCGATTGATATGTTTCCAGATGCTATTCACATGTCGTAAGAGAACTTAAATATATTTTTGTGGCTCTTTTAATTGACATTTTTTTTGTAGTACTGTAAAATATTTTGAGTTGATCAAAGTGTTTCTAAAACAACTTAGAGATCCGACATCTCGAGCATCTGATGATGTTTATTCTTATATGTTTTTGTGTGACTTTTTCAATTTCTTCGTTATACTTTTCGGATATTCATCATTTGGGGTAAGATTTTTTTTTAAATAAACATAGTAGTAACTTGATTATAAAAATATTTAGGAGCAACAAGGTGATGGAGGTGTCCAATCTTATTTGCAAGATAATAGAGTTCCTCCTCTTTTCCTGTTGATGTTAATCGTGCAATTCTTATTGATCATAGTTGATAGAGCAATATATTTAAGAAAAAATATAACAGCTAAGATAGTTTTTCAATTTGTACAAATAATAGTGTTACATGGTTGGTTATTTATACTCTTTCCGTTAATGACTGATAGGTAAATATATATGATATATATATGATTCCCAGCTAGTTTCAACTTGATATAATATTTCAGATATTTTAATTCAACGATAGCTCCTCAATTATACTACATGGTGAAATGTTTCTATCTCCTTTTATCCGCTTATCAAATCCGTTGCGGATACCCAGCTAGAATTCTTGGAAATTTCCTGTGCAAAAGTTACAACTACGTCAACAAGATCTTATTTTTAGTCTTTATGGTTGTACCTTTTCTGTTTGAATTGCGAACAGTTATGGACTGGATGTGGACTGATACTTCGATGACCGTTTTCGATTGGATAAAAATGGAAGATATTTTCGCCACCATTTTCCAAATAAAGGTAACAATCTTTCATTTAAACGCCGCATTTATGTGTTTTCTTCAGTTATTTGTTTTTATTGTGTGGGGTAGAGCAATTTAAAAAAAAAACCATAAATAAAATTTGCACTTAGGAATTTGAGTTGCCACCATTTCTTCAAAGAGTAGTAAATGAGCATCATAACTCCAAAGGAAAGGTGATTTTTTTGGCTTCAGCTAAATGTCCTAATATAACAAGTTTTTCTTACTAACTCTTAATATAAAATATATTTATAAATACAATTATTAAATGTAAATATAAAGAAAAGTCATGGTGGTTGATTTAATAAAGACAAATTCATTTAAGTATTAAGGCTTTCACGATCAGTGTTAATTGTACTAAAACTAGAACTAGTCTTTTGATAAAGTCTTTAACATTTCAAGATTCCGAATTCCGAATGTTTCTAGTTCTAGTGTCAGTTCTAGTTTTAGTGGAATAAAAATATGCAACATAGTGATAACTTATCCTAATTAGCACTACCTATCACTGTCACTAGAACTATCATTAAACCTAGAACTAGAATCATTCGGATTTAGCCGTCTTGAAAGACGTGCGGCTAAATCCGAATGTTCTTGTGTTAGTTCTAGTGATAGTGCTAGTGTAAAACTAGAACTAACACTAGACCTAGAACTCGAAACATTCTGATTTAGCCGCACGTCTTTCAAGACGGCTAAATCTGAATGATTCTAGTTCTAGGTCTTGTGTTAGTTCTAGTGATAGTGCTAGTGTAAAACTAGAACTAACACTAGACCTAGAACTAGAAACATTCTTATGTTAGTTCTAGTTTTAGTTCAATAAAAATACGCAACATAATAATATTTTATGCTACCTACCACCTACCAGCCGTCGTAAAAGAGATACGGCTAAACGGAATGTTTCTAATTCTAGTATTAATTCAAGTTTTAATTGTTATACAGCTTCAGGTTGTTGTATATTTTTACTAAACACTAGAAATATTCAGATTTAGCCATCTCAAGTCGAAACCCAAATGTTTCAAATAATTTATAAACAGCTAACATTAATTATTTAACCAATATTAATGTAAATAAATAATAATATATTATTTAAAATTGATTTTTTTTAAATTTTTCAGTGTACAAGAAGGGCAGAACTTGAATATCCACAACCAAGAGGTCAAAAAAAATCACCTATAGCAAAATACATAATGGGCGGTGGAATACTGGTGGTTATAATCGCGATTATTTGGTTCCCTTTGGTATTCTTTTCCCTCGGAAACGCCGTTGGACAAACAAACGTTCCTTACGATGTGACTTTATCGATACGAATTGGTCCATATGAGCCGGTTTATCAATTATCAGCACAAAATAATTCCATATTCAGGTATTTTGAACTCCTAAATACCACAATTTCTTGCTTTATACATAACCACTTTTTAAATTTTTAGTTTTAATCAAAGCGATTATGAAATTATTGAAGAAACCTATAAACAGAATAAAGCCGCGTTTTCGTTTATAAGTAATTATCGGGAGGAAGATATCGCCGCGGTAAAACTAAGCGGGGATTCTTCGACCGTTTGGACGATTTCCCCGCCTGATAGGAATCGAATGATTGCGGAAGTTGCCTCAATGAATCCGTTACAAATTCAGTTACAGTATCAGATTTCCCATAACAGTAGTGGTAACAAAAATGATCCGGGAACGATTAGGGAGATCATTGAAATTATGATGCCGGCTGTAATTGATGATCAACTCAATCCGGAGAGGCAAAATTTATTGAGAATGTTATGGGGAAATGAAACTGATGTTCCACCGGTTCGTTTGGGGTATATTTTACCGAAATTTCTTAAGGTTACTAATAGGGGAACTGCTCAACCTGTTAAACTACTTATGGATGACCCAGGTAAACTAATTCAAAACGTCAAAACATATCCTATATTTAAAAACATTTTATAGAAACTTTAAATTGAAATATTTTAATTGAAATTAAAATATTACAATTAAAAAGGTCAAAACACAAAATCGTTCTGACGTTTGTAAACTAACCTAAAAATTCAAAACGTCAAAACATTTAAAAAATACACCTACATTTATAAACATTTTATAGCAACTTTAAAGTTCTTCGTTTGCTTTTGCCTTTTATTAGATTATTAAATTGAAATGTTTCACTTAAAAAGGTTCAAAACACAAAAGACATATAGTTCATTTTTTTTCTATAATACCTGTCAATTTGTTGTAAAGTTGGCAAAATTAACAGGGAGTTTTGTTTTATCATGTTTTGAAGTAAATATGTCACATTGACGTTTGAGCTTTCGTTATTCAAAAAGAAAAGGTGCATAAAAAGTGTTGTGGGGTGTTTATTTGCCATTTACTTACCTAGAAAAGGTATTTTATTCTATTTAATTACTTTGTAGCACATTTTTATAACAAATATGTACTTCGTCAAAATCGTATTTATCTAAAAATTTATTAGTATTTTAACCTCAACTAATTAGTTACTGACAATAGCTTTGTTCGTTGGGACTGCACTACTCTGCACGACATGGCACTCGTATGACGTCATAGTGCAATGAAGTGTAAGTCAGTGCAATGTCATGTCAACTTAGTGCAGGTCAGAAAAGTGTATAAACCGTGGTCCCAACGAACAGATTTTTATAAAAAAAGTGTATAATATTTGAAATGGACGAACAGGAGATTGTCAGCGAAATACTCGTGGAAAATGAAATTATCGCAGAATGTTTTTTTAGTAGCGTTTTTTTAGTATTCATCAATTATTATTATTTTTTTTTATTTTTTTCAATTATTAGCGAAATATATTTTCTATACCAAACTACTAACCCTTATTAGTTCTTTCAAAAGTACTACTTAACGTATAAAGAAATCACATGCTAAATTGCACCAAAATTGATAAGCAGTACTTGCAAAAAAAAATTTGGGGTGGTGAGGGTAGTTAACCCCAGCCACCCCTAAATGAGAAAAAACACAATATTTTTAAATGTACTATAAGTGTATTTAATGCCGCCAAAATCGACAGGGTAGTTTTTAAATTATTCCAAAAAAGTAGGGGTAGTTTTCTACTGCCTCTACTGGGATTGAATATACTGTGTTCTCTAATACAACAAATATTAATTATTATAAGGTTTTATTTCTTAATATTTAATATTAATATTAATTATTACAAAACACGTTTTCAAATATTCCGCCATTTTAGTTACACTGCACTTATTGAACTTAATCGAAAGCAGGTGCAACAAAATCTGCACTAACTTGCACTGGCTGCACTAAATTGCACTACACCTGGCCCAACGAACAGTATGAGTGCAACTGCACTAAACTGCACTATCCCCAACGAACACACACCATCTGCACTAAACTGCATAGTGCAAGTGAGTGCAAGTAGTGCAATCCCAACGAACAAAGCTAATGTTACTAAAAATCATGAAAACAACAAGTTTTATAAGGGTCCTAGATAATACCAACAGAAACCCTAAATAATTTACATTGACAAGTATTATAGAAGAAAAACGAACTATAATTCTGACGTTTGTAAACTAACCTAAAAATTCAAAACGTCAAAACATTAAAAAATGCAAAATCTACAGTGCCCGCCAAAAAGTCAGCAACACCCGTTTTATTTCTGTTCCATTACATCAACGTTTCTGATATTTAGCTTATATGGAAGGTTCAAACCGATATTTCGATCTAAAGTATTTTCAAAATGGTGGCCACTTCCGGTCCCCCGGAAGTAGACCTCAACTTCGTTATTTTAAATGGAATGCTATAGTTTTTATTGCACCTTTTAATTGTATGCGAAAAAATATGTTGTCTTTGATAAAAGTTACTGGTACCTAGCATTTTTCGTTTTCGAGTTATTTTGATTTTAAGTTTTTGTTTTGGTAAATTTCACCACGCTTTTAAAATCACATATCTCAGCCAATATTTATTCAAGCAACCTCTAACTTGGTAAGATTACTCTTTAGATGATATCAAATAGATTGTCATTTGTTTTAGTGATTAATTGAAGTATTACACTTAAATAAAAAGGTTCAAAACACAAAAGACATAATCGTTTTGACGTTTGTAAACTAACCTAAAAATTCAAAACGTCGAAGTATTTAAAAAACACATCTTATATTTATAAACATTTTATAGAAACTTTAAAGTTCTTTGTTTGCTTTTGCTATTTATTAGATTATTAAATTGAAATATTACACTTAAAAAGGTTCAAAAGACATAATCGTTCTGACGTTTGTAAACTAACCTAAAAATTCAAAACGTCAAAGCATTTAAAATTACATTCTATATTTATAAACATTTTATAGAAACTTTAAAGTTCTTCGTTTGCTTTTGCCACTTGTTAGATTATTAAATTGAAATATTATACTTAAAAAGGTTCAAAAGACATAATCGTTGCGACGTTTGTAAACTAACCTAAAAATTAAAAACGTCAAAACATTTAAAAAATAATTAGATGAGGGAGTTTGATCCATGTTGATAAATATCAAATGTTAAAAGATACACTATATTTATTAACATTTTATAGCAACTTTAAAGTTCTTCGTTTGCTTTTCCCCTTTGTTAGTTTATTAAATTGAAATATTACACTTAAAAAGGTTCAAAAGACATAATCGTTCTGACGTTTGTAATCTAACCTATAAATTCAAATCATTGTCAAATCTTTGTGATTCTAAACACAAAATTAATTTATTAGGGTTAATTAATTAATTTAAGCTTTGTTTTGTGCTTATAATGTTTAAAAGTTGAGTAAAGAATATATTTATATTTTAGATAATCCAGAGCAGTCATACCTTCGGACTCTCAACCTTACCTTATCGTCTCATTCATCGAATCAATCCGATAGCATCAAATACGAATGGTGGACAATCCAAGAAAATTGTTCCGATATAAACTACAGAGTTTACTTAAGAAAATTAAGCTATGGAGATTGTTCCGCTATAGTACTTTACACGTTTAATGATCGCATCTTCCCACCAACTCTCAATATTATCACAGCGGGAGGGTAAGTAACTTAAAAATTAGTTATAAAGTATATATTTAATTTTATTACATACTTATTTTATTAAAAAAAAATAAATAAAAAGATTTGTGTTAATTAAAACATAATTTGCAGTATAATCGGGGTTTATACAACTTTAGTATTCCTGGTATCTCGTTTCCTCCGTGGTTTCTTCTCGGAGATTTGCTTCAAAATCATGTTCGATGATATGCCAAATGTCGATCGTGTCCTTCAACTTTGCCACGACATTTATTTAGTGCGCGAGGCGGGTGAATTCTGTTTAGAGGAGGACTTATTCGCGAAACTCGTCTTCCTCTTCCGGTCGCCGGAGACGCTTATTAAATGGACGCGACCCAAAGAGGACGGCGAGGATGAGGATAATCCCGAGGGTGATAATTAAGAATTCAAAAAAAATATGATTTATTTTTTGCATATTCTGTGATAACATAAAGAGGGAAAAAAGGTTTCTTTTTTTTTAAACAGGATTTGTTGAAAAACTTAACCATAAATTGACGTTTAAACGGAACATTTAATTTGATTAGTTAAATGCTTTTAATATCAATCAGGGAAATCAATTTATTGAATGTTAGGATTAAAAAAATAGTTGAATCTATTACTTTTTTTATGTATGTTTAAACTAAGTGTATAATTTATTAGTTTAGGCACCACACTTAATTTAACTGTTTTAAATATAAATGTTTTTTGATAAATAAATTATTTATTGCACTCACATGGATATTTTTTTTAAACCATTTATAATTTTCCTTTTATTTCCTAAATATTTTTTACTATAAGTATGAAGGAATATTATTATTAGTTTTAATTCAACATTATTTACTAACCAAAATTCCTTATCTCTAGAATTATTGGGATGTACCTGTTATATTTTTTGGTGATATTTAAAGTTATGAGAGATATAATGGCTAAAAACATGATTAAAGCTTGGTACGAGGAAGTACCATATGTCGACCGTATTATTATGCTTATAAGAAACATTCGAATAGCCAGGGCAATGAAAATGTACGATCTTGAAGAGTACCTATTCTCTATGTTATTATTTTCGATACGATCGTCCGCTATTTGGATTGAAATGACTCGCTTGCCAGGACTTCCAACTATTCCAATCGGAAATATATTACCAGGAGTTCAAAATAGAACACCAGAAAAGAAAGAAAAGGAATAAAATGTATAAGATTAGATAATTAAAATGATTTAGAAGTATTCGTATCTTTTTCATTTTTAAATTTGGTGCTTTTAAATTTGTTATAGGAAATATATTGTGTAATTTTCAATAATTTTCATTAACAATAACAATGTTATCGTTACATATTAATGACGTGAGTAATCGCTTATTACTTACTTGCGATTTAACAGCTCAGATTTAAATTTCATTTGTATATTGCAACTCTAACGACTTTACTGTATGGATATCATATTCAAAATTGTAGTCTTTATGGTGATTACAAATAAACCACATCGAACAAGTAAGACAATTTTAGTTAATTATATTTAACATAAGCATCTAGGTTGACGATCTGCCGAGGCGTTGTGACTCAGTTCATCACATTCTTGAAAACTCTCCAGACTTTGTATGCGATGTGCTGTCAATGTAGCGCCTCGGCCGCAAGCAACCTCAGCTTCATTAATCTTGATATCATTATGAACTGGTTAGTTTTTATGTCAATATGGTATCAATGTTATGCCTCGACCACAAGCGATTTCGGCTTTATTAATCTTAACTATTATGAACTGGTTAGTTTTTGTATCAATATTATGCCTCGGCCGCAAGCGACCTCGGCTTAATTAATTTTCATAGGCGTAATTTCCAAAAAGTAAAAATCGATAATTTAATACAATAAAGACGCTTTTACATATATTAACACATTAATTAAAATATTTTTTACAATAAATAATTTAATTTAAATCGACAGCGCCATCTATTAACAATTATGAATATTAATAACTCATATTGTATAATTAAATTAAAACTAATTAAAGTGTGATATTTTTAACTTAAAGTTAATTTATATAAAATTATTATCAAAAAAGGCATTTTCTAAAAATGAATCAATTCTATTTATCTTTAAAGTTGATATAACGTTATAGAATCCTGTAAAAATATATGTCAAGTGTCATCCGTCAAACAGCTGTAACTTTCCTTTTAAACTATTTTTACTTTATCCTTGATCGTACAAACACTTATAACCTGTAAATTCATCAAAATGATCCTTATAAACATAATCTAAAATCGTGATAAGATAAGAATCTCCTATTTATTTAGGAACCAGTACAACCCATTTTTGTGTGTAAGGTTCTTCCAAGATGCCTCACCTAAAGCAGACGAGTAATCTTCTTAAACAGCTTCGAGCTTTGATGCTCGATACTAAATACGTTTCCGAACCCATCAACGCATATATCGTGCCATCAGCAGACGCCCATAACAGCGAATACTTAGCGGAGTGCGATCAGAGAAGAGCATTTATTTCTGGATTTACCGGTTCAGCTGGAACCGCGGTTATAACTCATAACGATGCTTGTATGTGGACCGATGGAAGATATTATCTTCAAGCTTCGCAAGAGATGGATTCAAACTGGACTTTGATGAAAGAAGGAATTCCAAGTACACCAACACAAGGTTTTATTTTAAATTAATAAATTAAACCATTAAAGTTGATAACATATATTAAAGTTAATCTTAATTCCTCAATACATCAATTTAATCTTTTATTTTATTAAAATTTCAATCAATTGATAAGTTAAAAATAAATCAAATTTATTCTTTTGGAAAAAATTCAAGAATCATCATGTGGCTTAAAAATTGACGATTTTTTTTTAATCAATGTGAAATGACCCAAAAAACACTGTTGTAGAGTAGAACATACCGAAAAATCATATTAAAGTTTCGATGTGACGTCACAAGCAATGTTACCCATGCAGTTTTCTATTAAACCGGTCAACACCTAACCTATAAGATATTGCTATGTTGTATATTTTTATTGAACTAAAACTAGAAGTAACACTAGATCTTGAACTAAGTATTTATAACCTTTTTTGATTTTTTTTAATAATTTTGATATGCTATAAATGTCATCTTAACGTTTAAACGTCATTTTGACGTTTAAAATAAAATGGTACCAACCTAAGTTTTTGGAAATCTTTTGATGAATATCGAATCTTTCATACCATCTTTTTTTATAACTTTTTTGATTTATAGGAATATGTTTCGCTAATTTTAGTATTTCCATAAGATTTTTTTTATTAAATTAACTGATTTTTGAGATCTATATTTTTAACGATATTGACGTTTAATTGTCAAATTGACATTTAAAAGTCAAATATGTAACTGTAAGTCGTAAAGTTATTAAACTTAAAATTTATTATAAGAACTTTATTATTTAATTTTTTGTATTAAATCATTATAACTTAACCCATTTTCATCATAGGATACTCTCTAGGAATGTTTCTAGTTCTAGGTATAGTGTTAATTCTAGTTTTGCATTAACACTAGAACTAACACAAGACCTAGAACTAGAATGTAGGATGGAGAGGATGTAGGAGGAGAATTCGGATTTAGTTCGAATGTTTCTAGTTCTAGATCTATTGTTAGTTCTAGTTAGCCGTCTTGAGAGACGTACGACTAGAACTATCACAATGTCCCGAACTAGAATCTCCTCTTCTTACTTGAGTAATTTCCCGTAGATTAAAAAAAATTGTCGATTTTTAAGCGACATGATGTTTTTTGAATTATACCTACCATTATTTTTCTGGCTTACTCTTTTAGTTATATATTTAACTATATGGTTTATAGGAACATGGCTTTCAAAAAATCTTCCATCCGGATCAAGAGTAGGTGCAGATCCATATCTTTTATCCTACAACAAATGGATGCCATTAAAAAATCAATTAGAATCCGCCGGGCATAAATTAATCCCAATAACAACAAATTTAATCGATCTTCTTTGGACCGATCGCAAACCGATGCCTTCAGCAGAGGTGAAACCTTTACCAAACAAATATACAGGAAAAACAATCCAAGAAAAACTAAAATTAGTCCAACAACAAATGGTAGATAAAAACGCGAGTTATTTAGTTTTAACATCCCTTGACGAAGTGGCTTATTTCCTAAATATGAGAGGAAACGATATTTCTTACAACCCAGTTTTTTTTTCGTACGTTTTAATCACCCAAACTGGATTCACCATATTTATAGATCAAAATAAAGTTACAAAAGACGTTATCGACCATTTAAACGTAGAGGCTGGAGTTACTATTTACGATATTAAAAATTATACCGAAATTGCTAACGTTTTGACGAATAACGCGGAGAAAATTGAGGGATTTGTTTGGTTTTCCGAACAAGCGAGTTACGCTTTAACCAGTTTAATACCGACGAAAAATTTGTTAACCGAATTAACGCCCATTTCAACTATGAAAGCGATTAAAAATCCCGTTGAAATTGAGGGAATGAAAAACGCCCACATAAAAGATGGGCTCGCTTTGTGTTGTTATTTTTCTTGGTTGGAGAAAAATGTTCATACACGAACCATAAGTGAAATATCGGGCGCTAAAAAATTAAGAGAATTTCGAGCTCAACAAGAACTCTTTGTTGGACCTAGTTTTGATACAATAAGTTCTGTTGGGCCTCACGGTGCGATTATTCATTATAAACCAGAACCTGATACTGATGTTACCATTGATCCAGATGGTCTTTATCTTTGCGATTCTGGTGGTCAATATTTGGATGGCACAACGGATGTAACTCGTACTTTTCATTATGGAAAACCCACCGAATTCGAAAAAGACTGCTACACAAGAGTTCTTAAAGGACAAATTAAGATGGCAACGATGATTTTTCCACAAAAAATTAAAGGAAACTGTTTAGACTCATTTGCTAGGCAATATCTTTGGTCGGTTGGTTTGGATTATGCCCACGGAACGGGACATGGAATTGGTTCGTATTTGAACGTACACGAAGGCCCGATGGGAATTTCATGGAAAAATATTCCCGACGATCCTGGATTAGAAGCTGGGATGTTTCTTTCAAACGAACCCGGGTTTTATCAAGACGGTAAATTTGGTTTTCGGATTGAAGATATTGTTTTGATCGTTAATGCGACGACTCCAAATAATTTTAATAATCGGGGATTTTTGACTTTTGAAACGGTTACTTTATGCCCGATCCAAACAAAAATGATTAAAACTGAAATGTTAACTGAGGAAGAAATTAAACATCTTAATAGTTATCATCAGAGATGCAGGGATGTTTTAGGGCCACTTCTAAAGCAACAAGGGCAAACTGAAGCTGTGGAATGGTTATGGAAAGAAACTGAACCAATAAATAAATAATTTTAATTGTATTTGTTGACTTTGTATGGATTATACACTATTTGTATTTTAAAAGAAAAAAAAATATGTATACAATTTAATTTGATTAATTCTTTTTTATTAAACTCTAGTTTTACTTGTTATGTTGTGCAAAGTTGGTATTCAAAACGTCAAATACTTTTTCAAAAGACAAAACCATAAGTTTAGTATTGAGAGTTTCAAGCTCAACATGAACTCTTTTTTGGACCTAGTTTTGATACGATAGGTTGGGCCTCACGGTGCGATTATTCCGAGACAAGTTTTACCTGAAAGAGAAACATAACCTCAATTAAGTTGACAGTTAATTTTTAGTTGCTCATAATTTTCTTAAAACTATTAATATCCTTTTTAAACCATCCAAAACGGAAATATAAGTATCAGCTACATCTAATTTATTAGATTCCAGAAGATTTTGAACGATTTTGGCCTTGAAAATTGGATTTAATTTGTAAAATTCAAACTTTATTTATCGTTGGAGAATCTTGAAACCTCCAATGGACAGCTGAAATAGAAAAATATATGCATCAAATACGAAGTTTCATCAAGATTACTGAAGAATTAAAGAAGATATTAATGGAATAAGTTTTGGATTTTTTTGAGTAATTTGAAGGAAATCCGCTAGATGGCTTTTTCGAAATTTAGAAATATTTGAAATCATTTTAATGGAAGAAATGGTGTAAAATTGCATCTGAGGAATTCCCAACCAGTCGGAACGTTAATTCTGAACGTTATTCTGTGGTAAGAGCTTTTATATATAAACCCAACCTAACCTGTATTTTAGTGGTTCGGTTCTTAACTGAATAATTTCAAAATATCCCCAAGAGATGGCGCCACATGCGTTCAATTTTTAGTACGAAATTTTTTTTTTTGGAGAGTTGCATTTTTACGAAGCTATTTTCTATGACTAGGACAGTCCGATTTAATAAGAACCCAACCCAACCGATGCTTTCTGGATTTCTGTCCATTTTTCCATTCCTAAGAGGGACCTTCGATTGGATTGAGTTACAACATAACCTAAAAGTTATTTATCAGATAAGTGGGAATTTTTCTGTTAATTTTCATGTTAATAATTCAAGATAAAACACTGCTAGTTTCATTTTAATTGAGAATCTATCGATTATTATCTACTGACTTAAATCTTTAGTAGTATAGCTCATTTTTTTTTCTATAATATCTGAAATTGTTGTAAAGTTGGCAAAATTAGCAGGGTTTTGTTTTATCATGTTTTGAAATAGATATGTCACACTGACGTTTGAGTTTTCGTTATTCAAAAAGAAAAGGTGCATAAAATATGTTGTGAGGTGTTTATTTGCCATTTATTTACCTAGAAAAGGTATTTTGTTCTATTTAATTACTTTGCTGCACGCTTTTACGATAAATATGTACTTCGTTAAAATCGTATTAATCTAAAAATTTATTAGTATTTTAACCTTAACTATTTAGTTAGTGAAAATGTTACTAAAAATCAGGAAAACTATATACATAAATTTTATAAGGGTCCTAGATAATACCAACAGAAACCCTAAAAAATTTACAAAGTATTATAGAATAAAAACGAACTAGTTTTTTTTCCGTTCAATTTGACATCTGTCATTATTGACGTTACGCTTTCTCTCAGTTAACGATTTTAAAATAGAAATCTGTAATATAGATTTTTTTTGAGCCTGAACTCGCTAAATTATTATTTTTTGTATAATTTATAATACACTATTTATACAAATAGTGTATTAAAAAGAAAAAAATATATGTATACAATTTAATTTGATTTATTTCTTTTTCTTTCCTTTTTTATCTTTCTTCTTAACTTCCGCGCTAGATTCGATAATGCTTAATTTTTTGAGTTTACTTGCTTCTTTAGCTTTCTTATAATTTTCTATGTCTTCAATTTTTGTAGTCGTCAACAAAAGAATGATGTTATAAAATTCCAAGAACGAAATTGGATATTCCAGATCGACAATTTGCCCATTTTTTATGATTGAAGGACAAACTTCCGCTATGCAATCGATAATCCTTTTTCTTTTTAATTTGGTAAAAACGTGGAGATTTTTAAGAATAATGTTTTCGGTTTTAAAAGGATACGGAGTAGGATCTTCAATTTTCGGAATGATCTCATCATCTAAATATAAATAAATGTAAGAGGAATTTTTAATTAAATTTTGATTTATTACCTGCTAAAAATATTACACTTGAACCAATTGGTGTTGCGTTAGCACCGGATTTTAAATGATTAATTTCGTCACCTTCTAGAACTTTTTCGGAACAAGCTGGAAATCCTTTGTGGATACAACTTTGGTATAACATCCTCGCCGTGGGGGGATCCCCAATGCTTCTATAAAGCATATAAACCCCTTGAATGGGAAGTAAATCTTTATATTCATAAAGAGCCGTTCCTCTATTTTTCCCCACGTTCGGTAATAAGTCGTCATAAAGAAACTTTCTTAATATTTTCGATAACGTTCCTTCAACTTGATCCACGTCGAAAACATCGCCGTATAACTTCCAAGCAATCGCCACGAGTGATTGAAGAAATTGCCAAAAATAGATGCGTTCGAAAGGATCGTGTTCGGTTTCTAACCCGCAATCTGGATTTTCCATCACGCATAAATCAACATCTATTAAAGACATTCCTCTCGTGGTGATATTGATGTCGTAGAGTAGTTGCCAAAAAAATAATCTTATTAAAACGGGTCGAAATTTCGGCATTTCTTTGGTTGCAATAAAAGCGTATTGATAATAAATATGTTTCAAGACTAAATTATTTGAAATAATAACGTTGCGAAGCTTTTCTTCTTCCCCCAAAAGAATGCTATCCTCAATATTCGATTCCACAGAAAAAATATTCCTAAAAAATAATTTTTAATTTTAAATAAACCAAAATAAAAAAAAATTACTCTAAATGAATCGTTCCATGTTCTCTGGCCCCATGTTTTTTAACAAGAAGTAAAAGAAAATACGTTAAATCAACCTGTTTAGGTTCATAATGTATCGGAATACATAACGGGTTAATATGGCAACTCATCACTTTGGGAAATGCGGATAAGCTTACACTTTCGTGGCTCTCAATCGATGTTAAGAGTGTTAATGTACTCGAACTTTTTGTATTCAAAATTTGTTTTTGAGACCCGCTTTTTCTTTTTATTAATTCATTACTGCTTTGTCTGTACCATATTACGGGATCGACTGGTTTATCATATAAAAAAAGTGGATCTCCCGACATGGTTTTTCCATTTCCACAGATAACAAAGGCCGGGCCGTGTTTCATGTTTCTTATCCAACAACCGGTCATTCTAGCGCCACCACAAAAACCAAAGTTTAAAATTCCTTCTCCCGTTCGAGTCCCTTCGACCCAATATCCTTCAAATTTATTCATGATTGGGTATGAAAACGATCGGTTAAAAAACGCTTTCCAAATGTATTCCCCATAACCGTTCATCTTTCCATTTTTCCAATCGCCTTTATAGTACTAAAAATTTGTTTAATTTAATGTTATTTTAATACGAATTAATCTTAATTACATCGTGATTTCCCCAAACCATTGTTCCATATCCTTCTCGTAACCCATTTTGCCACTCTCCTTGATACATGCACTCTTTATAATATTGACGAATTCCATTTCCGTGGCGTTGATCGTCCAGAAAATTTCCATTGTACCAATTATTTGGTTCATAAAGCAACCAGCCTTTTCCATTTTTCTTTCCAGCTTTCCATTCGCCACTATATAAACTGTTAGTTTCGGTTATGTACATGCATCCTTCGCCATGGAGAAGACCTTGGCAAAAACTTCCTATGTAATAACTACAGTCCTTGTAATATAATTTTCCACGACCTGTGATGTGACCATTATTAAATTCACCCTAAATTAAATTGATAAATAAAATGTATGTTGGGTTGCCTACTTCGCAAATTCAAAAAAAAAAGATCTTAATATAAACAGACTCAGATTTCTTAATCTGGATGTATTTGTGTTCTCTGATGATTATAAATCAAATTTGAAGCAATACCATTTTCGAAATATCTTTGAGATATTAATTTTTAAACATTATAACACAACATTAATATTCTTACTTCATAAACTGTTCCATCACTCCAAAATAACGTCCCAATACCATGAAATCGTTTCCTTTCAACTGGTCCTTTATAAACATTCCCATTTTTGAAAAGAATCATAACATTATCTGGGTAAGTTTGAATAACCCATTCGTATTGATCGCTGGTGTTGCTAAGATCCTAAAACGTTTTATTTTATAACCGATTTTATTGTGTTTAATTATTTTTACTAATGTATACGAAGTAGTTTCGTCTATTTTTGACGGTACTCGATCCACACTCCATCTTTTAGACGATGTTCTACTTCTTCCTATAAAATATGTCTTTTAAAATGTTATTATTAAGTTATTTAAAAGTATAACTTGACATTCTTGATCCGTATTTCGATAACACCCCAGAAGAACTTCTTCTCGATTTTTTACTAGTTAATGATACCTTAGAGTCGTCAAAGTAGCTTAATTCATTAGCTAATAAATCCTCTTTAGTTAAATCTTTGAGGTCTTTAACTCCGTTGGTTTTTTCATCACAAGATTGACTCGTATCATCGTCTTCTACATGAACCCATTCCCTCACAACCAAATTCAACATGCTATCATAAAAAAGCAAGATTACTTCTTCTTGTAATTCTTGGGGAGTTTTAAATTCAGGGAGAAGTTGCCCTACCGATGTTCCAATATCCTCCCTTTGAATCGAAGAGGATTGTGTGGCATTTAGATCCGATTGTTTCGAGAATTGCAACATTATTTATATTGACAAATTTTTTTTTGACACACAAATGATTGACGAGATCTTTCTATCAAACATGATCATTAACATTACGATGAGTCATCACCCGGTAATGAGAATAGGTGGCAAACCGGGGATTAAGTATGCCTCGGGCATGTTGTAGTATTAATACTTTAAATTTTGGCTATTTCCCAAGACGTCTAGCTAATATTAGCCTCACTAAGGCGGCGACTGTCTTTTACCAGTTTTGTGTCCACCGGCTTTCCGGTGATGTGCTTCAAAATCACTAAACGGAGTACGATCTGCTCAAAAATTTAACATCAATGAGCGTGAGTTTTTATTTTTTAAATCCGATTTTGAAATGATAAAGATTATTTGTGGTACGCGATGAAAAGGTTAAATTTAGACCGATTAAGAAGGCCGAAGAGCTAAAAAAAATTTGTTGTGTGCTTAAATGCTAACCTAGACTTAGATTGAAGTGTAAACTTGATTATTCAAGTCCGTTATATTAATAGACTAATTATATTAAGAATACAATTTTTAGATTTTTAGATTGTTGTATTTAGGTCAGTGTAATGTAAATTCTATGCATCCTAAACTTTATTTTTAGAACTTGGTGCCACCATCTATAACAATTGATCGTTAACCAAAATACGAGATTGTTTTAAACTTTATTATTGCGTTTTACGACGAGAAAAAAGACTAAAATAATTTTAGAAATTAGATGAGAACTTTGTGCCAAAACTTAGTAATTATTTCTAAAATACTCTCCAAATTAAATTAAGATTTGTTTTTTAAATACCAAATACAAACAGCTTACATAACAACACTCCAAACTATTTTAAAACTAATCTTAACAATGTTTAAACACCTCCCTACAAATTCATTGATGTTTTCAAACTCGCGTTTATGATACCAAAATATTAAACGTAAAATATTTAAAGATTTAAAAATAGATTTTGCGTTTGGGCGGTCGAGGAAATCAACGTATTCGCAATAAATACTTTTTTGATCGACGTAAATCGCGTTGGATAAAAATAGATTAAAAAAAATCTTGTTTTATTAATACCACTTAGAAATGGCCTGAAATCCTCTTAGTTTTCTATTATTGCATTTTGGGGCCAGAAGGATAGTAACGGAAATAGAAATAAGTCGGATACCAGGCCCAACTATGTTTAGGTTTTGTAAAAGAAAAAAATATCTTTTTTGATTAATTTCAGAGAAAACCTGAAACGAAATGGCGCCCAATGGCCATTTCAAATCCATCTACAAAACTCCGAATGGCTAGAAATATGCCTCAATGGGTGGTAAGTAAAACAAAATTATTATTATTTTCTATTTCTTATCTCCTTCACACCATAATCTTCTTTTTTTCGTCCAGGTGGTGTTCATTAATATATTTACTGTCTCTAAGGTCCTCATTTCGATTTCTCTCCAATCTTAACTCGTACCTCTTCGCAAATAATCCACAGACTTAATGTTATGACAGATCAAGTTAAAGTCGTCATTCCAGAAGCAGACGGAAAGTAAAACCTCAAGAAGCTTAGGAACGCAGTGCATAAATAATCTTACCGAAGCAACAATATATAGATAATCAAAATAAAAAAATGTAGGAGGTGCTAAATGGTTAGCGACAGAACTTAAGAATGGAACTAATAAGGTTTTAAATAATGTGCAGTCTTTGCTTCACAAAACTACGACATCATTCCAATTATCAAAGGAGTACCTAAAGAAAACAAATAAAAACAATGCGAATTCGTGTTTTTTCGGATTGACTGATCACACTGAGGTTGCTGATATTATCAGAGGTCTAAAAGGGAAAAAAACTGAAGACAACATATATAATTAAACAGGTGACTGTTGAAATAGCTCCAATTTTGACAACCATATTAAATTATTGCATAGAAGAGGCTATTTTTCTAGACAAATTTAAGGTGGCTAAGATCTCTCCGGTATTTAAGAAGGGAAACGACAGTAAATATAAAAATTATAGCCTTGCTGCCTATTTTTTCAAAGATAAGTATCAAGCATGGTTACAAAGTTGGCAAATCTACGACCTCTGCAATAATCAGGATCATAAATGAGAAAACAACGGCACATGATGAATTCGAAAAAACCAAATTGATATGCTGTTATCTCAGTAAAGCTTTTGATACTGTAGATCACAGCCTACTTTTAAATAAATTGCACTTTATGGAATAAGAGGTACAGTTCTGTTCAGATATAATGCGAAAAGAGTCGCTCGTAGAGGCATAAAATTATACTAGAAACGACCTACGTTCACGAGGCATTCAATCCAGGTTTAATCTGCTCTGTAGTGTTGTAAAAGTTCCGAAGAGGCAAGCGGGGTGATGTGATTTATGGCCAAGATGACTGAATCACAAAGAAAAATTAAGAAAATAAATAAGTATAAGCAATCCATTTACTTTACACAATTCCTGTAGTAAATGAAAATAATTACTAATAATTACTGTATTACTTTGGTAATACAGTGGAACGATAAGTCGAACCTCATAAGAAATGAAAATTATATATTGATAGTAAGTTATATATAAACTATATATAACTATATATAGTTATATAACTATATTGAAACTATAACGATAACTATATTGAAATACTGGATACAAGGTTCTTACTGATAGTTTCAAAACACCATCTAGCACTCGAATGTATTCAATCGAATTAAATCCTTGATAATTGTGGACGTTGTAAATGGATTGGCGGTGACCTATTCAGCAATTCCCCTTCGTTGAGCATTATTAAGAATAAGCCTTCGGCCTGATCTATAGATGTTGTAAGGCCAACTTTCCCGTTTTCTTCAAATCTTACTGATAAGCCTACACGTTCGGCAATTTCCCGTTTATCTATTCCTTCTTGATGAAGTGCAATAATTGCTCGCCTCGTAGTCAAACCTGACTCTCGTTGACCACGAACACGAGCCATGTTGTGTTTAAGAAAACGGACAAATTTGAATGCACGTAATTTTGATATTGAATAATTCTATTTAAAATTTGAAGGAGAGTTTCATAAAGCTTTATTTATAAGTTTTATATTATATTAATTATATTACTGAGATTTTTATCTGAATTTTTATTTATAGAAATACTCTAAAATCATTTATTAGAGGAACATATAAAAAATCGGGTATTTGTTGTTCTTAAAAATATCAAAAAAGATTTAAAATAAAATAAAATTAACACATTTAAAAAAAGGGTGATCCATACCTCGGCCTACTTCAAACTTTGACGGTTTTACCTGGGTTAAGGAAGAGGGTAACTTCCTTTAGTCTCAGAAATTGAATTGAATAGAAACAAAAGATGTCTCCGTCTTCTTCCAGTACCAGCGTCATGTCGGAGCTAACAGCGGACGATTCGCATTAAATCTGAACAGAGCTGTACATCCTATAAACTGATTGAATCTTACCTCTCCAATAGTTATCACTGATAACTTATCAGCGTATCTACTGGAATGGAGAAATTCCTTACTTTTTATTATTTTTGTAAATGACTTGCCTTACTGTGTGCCTGGAGTTACTTCCTGCCTCTACGCCGATGACACAACATTTGTAGCGCGAGACAATACAATGTACAATTCTAAGCATGGTGACTGATTGGTACTAAATAATGAGAAAACCCAATTTATGAAATTTTTCCACGCGAAGAATCAAGCGTGAAGTTTTGGGTTTGCACCTTGATCCTATGTAGAGTTGGAATTGTCACATCGATTGGCTATGTCAGCAACTCGCGAGTATTGTGTATCTGGTGCGCAGATTGAGGGTTTCTGCTGGGCTTGAGGCGGCTTATTTTTCGTGCTTTCATCTGTTGCAGCTTACGGTATAGCAGTTTAGGGGTCAGCTTCACGTGTCAGATGAGTATTTCTTCTACAAAAACGGTGTATACGTGCCCTTGATAACCTTAAGACAAATGATACTTGTAGGTTATCGTTTCAAAGGCACTGTGTACTTACTATTCCTGCCACCTATATCTTGGCTTGAACTATGTTCATAATCATAAGAGTGAGTTTACAACCAACTTTCAACTACATAGTTATAACACTCGCCATAAAGATCTTTTTGAGTTACCAACTCATAGATTAAATGTAATGATGAGTTTTAGAAGAAGAAATTTAACTCAAGAGTTAAAAATATGTTAATATCGATATGCTTTTATTCTCTCGAAGATTTTTATAACTGCGATCTTTGTACTGGCGTCGATTAAAATTACTAATTATTGAAATGTGGCGAAATTGTGTCTGTAATTTATTCCCTTACTTTTATAATATAAGAGTAACTTTATGTAATTTACTATTTCTATGATGATTCTTGTATTTGTACAGGGTGGTTCAAATTCGATGTCCGAATAGGCTAACTCGGAAACTATAAGAGTTAGAAAAAAAGTAGCTTACATGTCATGATCTCGTTTTTCGAGAAACTGCTAATGCCGAAAACCTCATAGCGCTATCGTCTTTTGTTTTTCCCCTAGAGGCCAAAATTGAAAATATCGTAAAACCAATAAGTGCAATTATCTTGGTTATTATTATAGGTGGAGTATTATAACTACGACATTATATGGACACTTTTTTACAGAGAATTTCATGACATAGTCAAAAAAAATTTTTCGGTTTTAGATTTTGAGATATCATGACAATTTTCGTTTTTTCAAATGGAAACAACCACTGATTATTC